CTCAGTGTGCTACAATAAAAGTGATCTGATATATCTTGGCCCTCTATAACATGTACATCTGAAGTCTACTCTCAGTCTTTTATTACAAATATCAACAAATACTTTCATTTGCCCTACATCATATCATTATACTTATCCTTTTTTCTTAAAATGTTTACCCTATAACTCAAACCCCTTTCTATAACCAAGGTTCAGTCAAAGCTCCCATCATCATTTACACCTGGCTCCCCAAACTTACCTACCACACCCTCTCTAAAAGTTTCCCTACTTTAGCTTTCGGGTCCCCTACTTCAATTACTCTCTATGGTTCAAAGGTTCCTGTATATATATATATAAATATATATATATATATATAATATATTATATATATATATTATATATATATATATATTATACATATATAGCAAACAATCACAGACGGGCGATCTTAACTATGCATGAAAAGCCACGGGGGTGGGGGTAATCTTTAACTCCAAGTACTTATCACACTGTTCAGTGCGTCATCAGACATGTCAATGTTGCAAGGGAGCAACCAAAGCGGGAGAAAAGGTCTCAGAGTATCGTAGTTGTCACAGGCCACCGGTTACCCTTAGACTGCTCAGCTCCTGATGCGCAGTGAAGAGTGTGAAAGTACTTACTAAAGATTTCCACCCCCCGTTGCTTGTCGTGCATATATATATATATATATAATATATATATATATATATATATATATATATATATATTATATATATATATATATATATAATATATATATATATATATATATATATATATATATATATATATATATATATATATATATAATATGCAAAAAAATCACAGTAAACAGGTGATATCAGAATATGCAAGACAACCACTGTGAAAGGATAGTGAAATTCAAGTGCTTCGTGCTCCACTTTATCCATGGAACTATGTAGTTCCTGATAAGGTAGAAGGTTTGTTTGACATCACACACACACACCAGTAACACATAATATATATATTAATATATATTATATTTATATATTATATATATATATATATATATATATATATATATATATATATATATATATATATATATATATATATATATATATATATATGTATATCTATGTATGTAGTATATATATATATATATATATATATAAATATATATATATATATATATATATATATATATAATATATATATATTATATATATATAATATATATATATATATATATATATATATATATATAGTATATATATATATATATATATATATATATATATATATTATATATATATATATATATATATATATATATATATATATATATATATATATATATATTTGTTTTACATGATGGTAGGATTGCTGGTGTCCTTTTTCAGTCTCATAAACATGCAAGATTTCCGATACGTCTTACTTCTACTTACACTTAGGTCACATGTACACGTTTATGCATACAAGCTAATCTGAGTTTTCTTTTATTTTATTTCATTAGTTCTTGTTCTCATTGCTTTTCCTTTCATATCAATGGGGAAGTGGAATAAAAATCTTTCCTGCGTAAGCCATGCGTGCTGTAAAAGTCACCTAAAATGCTGTATAGCCTACTAATAAGAAAAAAAGAAGAAAACCGTCAAAATGGGTTGTTAGAATGTGCGTGGATGTTGTGCGAATGAGAAAGAGATGATTGTGGATCTTATTTGAAGAAGCTGGATGTCCTGGTTTTAAATGAAACAAAGCTGAAGGAGGTGGGAGAGTTTCAGTGGGGAGAAATAAATGGGATTAGGTTAGGAGTTTCAAACAGAGTTAGAGCTAAAGAAGGAGTAGCAATAATGTTGAAGGATAAGTTATGGCAGGAAAAGAGGGAATATAAATGCGTAAATTCAAGGAATATGTGGAGTAAAATAAGGGTTGGATGTGAAAAGTGCGTTATAGTAAGTGTTTATGCACCTAGAGAAGAGAAAATTGTAGAGAAGAGAGAGAGATTTTGGAAAATGTTTAGTGAGTGAGTGGAAAGTTTTGAACGAAGTTTGAGAGTACTTGTGGTTGGGGATCTCGATGCTAAAGTGGTTAAAAATGTTGTGGAGGAAGTAGTAGGTAAATTTGGGATGCCAGGGGTAAATGAAAATGGGGAGCCTTTAATTGAGCTATGTGTAGAAAGAGGTTTGGTAATATGTAATACATATTTTATGAAAAAGAGGATAAATAAATATACAAGATGTGATATAGCATGTAATGAAAGTAGCTTGTTAGATTATGTTTTGGTGGATAAAAGGTTGATGGGTAGACTCCAGGATGTACGTGTTTATAGAAGGGCAACGGATATATCAGATCATTATTTAAAGCAATAGGTTGATGAGACAAAAGGAAATTGGCAACAGCAAGTAAGAGAGAGATGAATGTGTATAAACTAAGGGAGTAGGAAGTTAGTGTGAGATATAAGCAACTATTGGCAGAAAGGTGGACTGGTGCAAGTATGAGTAGTAGGGGGGAGGGTGAAGAGGGTTGGAATAGTTTTAAAAATACAGTATTAGAATGTGAGGCAGAAGTTTGTGGCTATAGGAGGGTAGGTGCAGGAGGAAAGAGGAGTGATAGGTGGAATGATGAAGTAAAGGGTGTGATAAAAGAGTAAAAGGCAGCATATGAGAGGTTTTTACAAAGGAGAAGTGTTATAAGAAGAGCAGACTATATGGAGAGTAAAAGAAAGGTGAAGAGAGGGGTGAGAGAGTGCAAAAGGAGAGCAGATGAGAGAGTAGGAGAGGCACTGTCAGAAAATTTTGCTGAAAATAAGAAAATAATTTGGAATGAGATAAACAAGTTAAGAAAGTCTAGGGAACGCATGTATTTGACGGTTAAAAACAGAGTAGGGGAGTTAGTAGATGAGGAGCTGAAGATATTGAGTACATGGCGAGAATATTTTGAGGAACTTTTAAATGTCAATGAAAAAAGGGAGGCCGTAATTTCCCACATTGGTCAGGGAGGTATAATCTTTTAGGAGTGAAGAAGAGCAGGATGTGAGTGGGGGGATGTTCGTGAGGCATTACGTAGAATGTAAGTGGGTAACGAAACAGGAATTGATGGGATCATGTCAGAAATGTTAAAAGTAGGGGGGGGGGGAGAGACATCGTTTTGGAGTAGCTGGTATTTTTATTAAAATATGTGTGAAAGAGGGGAAGGTATCAAGGGATTGGTACAGATCATGTATAGTTCATTTATATAACAGGAAGGGGGACAAAGGATATTGTAAAAATTATAGTGGAACAAGTTTATTGAGTATACCAGGAAAAGTAGACGTTAAGGTTATTATTGAAAGAATTAGAGGTAAGACAGAGAGTAGGACTGCAGATGAGCAAGGAGGCTTTAGGGGATACGTAGATCAAGTGTTTACATTGAAACATATATGTGAACAGTATTTAGATGAACGTAGGGAAGTTTTCATTGCATTTATGGATTTAGAAAAGGCACTTGATAGAGTGGATAGGGGAGCAATGTAGCAGATGTTGCAAATATATGGAATTAGGTAGTAAGTTACTAAATGCTGTAAAGAGTCTTTAAGAGGATAGTGAGGCTCAGGTTAGGGTGTGTAGAAGAGAGGGAGACTACTTCCCTGTAAAGGTGGGTCTTAGATAGGGATGTGTAATGTTACCATGGTTATTTAATATATTTGTAGATTGGGTTGTAAAAGAAGTAAATGATAGGGTGCTGGGGAGAGGGGTGGGATTAAATGATGGGGAATTAAATACAAAATGAGAGTTGACACAGTTACTTTTTGCTGATGATACTGTGCTTATGGGAAATTCTAGTGAAGGGTTGCAAAGTTATTGGACGAGTTTGGGAGGGTGTGTAAAGGTAGTAAGTTGAAAGTAAACATAAATAAGAGTAAGGTGATGAGGGTATCAAGTGATTTAGATGAAGAAAAAATGGACATCACATTGGAGAGAGGGAGTATGGAAGAAGTGAATGCTTTCAGATATTTGAGAGTTGACTTGTCAGCCGATGTGCTTATAAAGGATGAGGTTAACCATAGAATTGATGAAGGAAAAAAAGGTGGGTGGTGCATTGAGGTATCTGTGGAGACAAGAAACCTTATTCAGAGAGGCAAAGAAGGGAATGTATGAAAGTATAGTGGTACCAACACTCTTATATGGGTGTGAAGGTTGGGTTGCAAACTCTGCAGCGAGAAGGCGGTTGGAGGCAGTGGAGATGTCCTGTCTAAGGGCAATATGTGGTGTAAATACTATGCAGAGAATTCGGAGTGTGGAAATTAGGAGAAGGTATGGAGTTACTAAAGGTATTAGTCAGAGGGCTGAAGAGTGGTTGTTGAGGTGGTTTGGTCATTTAGAGAGAATGGATCAAAGTAGAATGACTTGGAGAGCGTATAAATCTGTAGGAAAAGGAAGACGCGAAGGGTTGTCCTCAGAAAGGTTGGAGGAAAGGGGTAAAGGAGGTTTTGTGGGCGAGGGGCATGGACTTCCAGCAAGTATCTGTAAGTATGTTAGATAGGAGTGAATGGAGACGAATGATTTTTGAGACCTGACGAGCTGTTGAAATGTGAACAGGGTAATAATTTGTGAAGGGATTCCAGGAAACCGGTTAGCCAGACTTGAGTCCTGGAAATGGAAAGTATAATGCTTGCACTTTAAAAGAGGGGTTTGGGATATTGGCAGTTTGGAGGGACTTCTGAACAGTCGTGTCTGAGCGCCACTACAAAGACAGTGATTATATATGGGTGAGGTGAAAGTGTTGAATGATGATGAAAGTATTTTCTTTTTGGGGATTTTCTTTCTTTTTGGGTCAACCTGCCTCGGTGGGAGACGACCGACGTGTTAAAAAAAATATGTATTACATTTTTTTTACTGTTGCCTAGTATTCCTAGAGGATAAGATGAAATACCTTATCTCCACCAGAATGGTGGGACTAAATATCCATGGCTAGATATGGTTGGCTAACGAAATCAGTTTCGGAGGTGTACCACCTCCTTCCTTAAGTAGCTAAGCTCATGAGTGTCAACTTTCACCCCACAGAATGGACTGTTGTCTGCTCTTCCTTATCTGGTTATGTGGATCTTCAGCCTGGTGTATTGCAGCATTGTTGACAGGCTCCTCGCTGCTAGCAAGGTCTCTAACCTGGCCGTCAGAAGGGTCTCCATGAGCATCGGTGAGTATTAGCGGCAATGTCGTCTGTCATGTATTGAGCTGATTTTGTGTATATTGCTTCCCTATTTTTGTTGTGAGGTTTCTGTATGATCTCTGTGTACTGTTGGGATAATTTATGTGATCATGTGGTCCTATCCTCTGATGTGCTGAGGTGATAGTGTATTTGACCAGTCTATTTCTCGAGAGTGGTCGATTTTGTTAATGGTCCTGGACTGTTGGCCTGAGTTACCATATACTCTCTATACTCGTTTAACAGTATCACACTGACCACACCCCTGTCTTCATTGTTGCTGAATACACTCACCTCCACTCGCATTAACACATTAACATAGAGGACTTGCTTCCACTCATTCTTGTCTTATACTCTCAACATATATCTCAGTCTCTCAACGCCACCGTCGTATTTTCCTGGTACCTACATCTTCTCCCGTCCTCAGACTTGTCATCCATTAATTAGCCTGACTTGTCCTGTACTACCCAGCCTCAGACTTAATGAGACACTTGTGCAACATCTGGGTATCTTTATTCTGGAAAAGTTTCTTCAGCTAGATGCTTGTTCAGTTCAATACACAGGAGTTTATATATTCAGTCCAATATACAGGAGATAAGGAGGAGTTTAAGGTAACCAGTCCCTCATCCTGGAGTCGATGTGTTCTGATCACCTCAAATGTTCATCAACCACCTATCTTTGTGATGAGTAAGTCACATATGCAAAAGTTAGGCATCTTTATTCTGAAATGTTTCGCCTACACAGTAGGCTTCCTTAGTCGAGTACAGAATAGTTTAGCAGAAGCAGTAGAAATGTGAATACGATGTAATCAGTCCATCGTCCTTGAAGACGTAGTTTTGAGGTGATGAGTATGGAAACTTATATATTCTGACACCACATAAGTCTCCATACTGCTGCTTACACTTCCCAGTGTTTCTGACTGTGGAACATAACTCTTCTCAAGGCTGAGGGATTAACCACATCAAATCTACGTCTTCAAGGGTGATGGATTGATTACATCGTATTTACAGTCTGTAGTACCTCTGCTAAACTCCTCTGTACTCTTTTGAGGAAGCCTACTATGTAGGCTAAACGTTTTGGAATGAAGATACTTATCTGTTGTATATGTGTCTTATCAACTTGTCGATATTGTATACCATTTTAATATTCATCTTCCTTTGTATTGGACTTAAGAAGCCACTGGCTGGCAGAACGTTTCCAGAATAAGATACTCAAATGTTACAAAAGTGTCTCATTATAAATTTGTCGGTTTTCTAAACCATTTATTCAAAGACTCAGTTTTGTTTACCATTACCCAGACTCAGACTTGTCCTCCAATACATAGACTCAGACTTGTGCTTTAATATACAGACTCAGACTTGTGGTCCACTTCTCAGAGTCAGACATGACCTCTTCCACCCTGACTCAGGTGTTGTCTTAGACTAACCAGAATTAGGTGCCAGTATGATCAGCGCTATTGCTATCTTTAGGAAATAGTGAAGTGTCACTGTGATACCTTGCTAACTGTAATAGTATTATTGTGTCAAATCTCAATGTGTTAAACAAGGATTTTCTACTTCTCGAGAAGATAAATAAGAAATTGAAAATATGCTTTGATTAAGTATAATAATGTGGTTGAGATTGTTGGGGTTAGCAAAAGAAAACAAGTAAACAGCAATGAGGAAGAGGTTGGTAATAGTAACAAGTGAGAAGTTGATGAAGGTTATAGGAGAAGATTTCAGCAAAAGAAATCGCTTTTCTGTTCTCCAGGATGAATATACTTCTTTGATCAGTGACAATATGGGCACCACTTACTCCTTAACTAATAAAGGTAAAGATATACTCGTTGTCAGCGACTCACAAGTTAGATAAGTGGACCGTGCCTTGTGTAACTGGGATAGGAAGGTGACATAGTCAACAGGTGAGTAATATTATGTAAGGTAATTGGGACAGGATCATTATCTGTCATAGTGCTGGGAATATGATATCGGTAGAGACAGGAGCTTCTAAGTATAGGAAAATACTAGGTGCTAATTAGGTCCAAGGGAGGGATCCCGATCATATGTAGCAATTTGCCTAGAAGACTGGGCAATGAATGGATGTCTAGAGCAATTAATGTAAACTGTTGGCCAGATAAGTAATGTAAAGAACTTGCAAATCACATTCGTTGAAAACTTCTATAATTTCTTTGGCAAACAAGATATGAATACGAGAGACATGATGCATCTCTAGGGCATGGGTGATACCATTAACCAACTCTGTCGACGGGAGTCTTCGCTGTGTTGTAGAGAACTTTAAATTGATTGAAGATATTAGCATTCGAGTTTATGGGAAACAAATGACTTGCAACACCAGAGACGAAAGAATGAAAAACATGATAGCTTATGTTAGGTAAAATGACACAAGTGCCACTGATATGACATTTAACTGTGAAAACGTTGCTCTCTGCACGATATTTTTCAAGCCGTTAATAATAATACATGAACACAGAGGGTATAAATAGGTACCAAGTGAGGTGAAAGACCATAAGACATGGAGTAGGCTTACTGGTCTATGTTGTAGGAAGTAGTAGTAGTGATTGTAGTAGCAATGTTAATATTAGTAACAGTAGCAGTACTTGAAGTAGTAGTTGTAGTAGTAGTACTACTACTACTAGTAGTAGTAGTACATACATTAGTATTACCATTAGTAATAGTAGTAGTAATAGTTGTTTTTGTTGTTGTAGTAGTAGTAGTGCTAGTAGTAAGAGTAGTAGAAGTAGTAGTAGTAGTAGAGTAAGTGAAGGAAACTCTAGGTTGTTATGTGATCGCAGGGTCTATTGTTTGGAGTAGAATTCATGTTAATACCTCAGAAGGTATTAGGACGAATACTTTCGGAGATATTAGCCAGAATTCTAGTCAGAACAATTAACCCAGCTATCGCACAGCAACCTAGAGTTACCTTCACTTATAGTGCTCTTGATACTGTGGACACTAGCGAGGAGAATATGTCGTTATCACGGGAGCAGCTTGTCTATTTCGTTGACTCCATGATACACTAGTGTAGCCGCAGTCTTCTCTGGGAGGGGAGGGGACATCAGTGCTAGTTGCCTGAGGAATGTCTCAGTAGCTTGGCACTCCAGGAGATAGTGTGGCGCTGGGGGCGCTGGACAACGTGCTGGCAGTGCTGGCACATCTCCTCCTCTGCCTTGTCTACCATCATCTTGACTTTGGGAAAGCTCAAACGAAGCCGATGGATGGTGGTACACTGCGCTCTAGACCAGCTTCTATCATATGAAGGGAGCTCTTTCTGAGCCGCTGCTCGGTACCACTGTTGAGATGGGGTATCACCTAGGACCTCCCCCATAAGTTTCATTGCTCTGGCGGCCACAGGTTTAGTCTGGCGGAGACTGATGGGGACAGTGATCCCAACATGTGGAAAATCTGTGGCTGCCTTGGCCGCATCATCTGCCGCCTCATTTCCCCTGATGTCAGCATGTCTGGGCATCCAGTTCAATGTCGATTTGTTACCCTGAACTTCTAAGGCTGTCATTATGCTCAGAATCGATGTGATGAGGTAAACATTGTCCTGTGGTTGGAGATGGGAGAGGGCATTGATTGCAGAGGTGGAGCCAACATGTATGACAGGTCGGAGTCAATGACGCAGGGCATGTGACAATTCCTGCTGAATCGCCACCAGCTCAGCTTGAAGGATCGTGCAGTGGTCAGGGAGTCGCCAGCCTTGTGTGTGACCATTGTGGTACATGCTAGTTGCTGCTCTCTTCCTTTCAGGGTCGACAGAACCATCTTTGAAATACACTGCACATGTGCGTCTCTCTGCCAGTGCCATGCTTGTCTCAGCATGATTGCTGAGGGTGTCTTGACTGCAGAGACACTTAGAGGTAGGTAGTTGCATGACAGAAACATCGGCTGGATCTGGGCACCAGGGAGGTGGTGGATGTTACCCAGCAATAGGAAGGTCACAACTCTTCTCAAGGAGTAGTTGTATAGGCAGCAGTTTCCGCCCAGTAGTAGAAAACGAACGAATCCAGGAGTCGTCCGTGAAGAGTGTGGGATCTTGTGTCATGGCTGCCAATAACCATCTTCTCAGTCGGGTACCTTGCTGCTGGTGCAGAATTTTGGCTTCTTTGCAGACGTTTATGTCTCTTACTCTATCAGCCAGGGAAGGAAGCCGGGCCTCAAATCTGAGACATACTGTGCTGGTCCAGATGGGGGCCCCAAGAATAGTTCTTATCGCCTGGTTTTGTACGACCTCCACCCTTTGCCTGCTCTGCGGAAAGAGATGAGCTAACGCCGGTGCACCGTAGTCACTGAGCAAGCGCACAGCTTGTATATAGTACAAGCGAAGTACTTCTTTGCTCGCCCCTGCACGGTGCCTCGTCATGGCTCTCATGACGTTGAGTCTGAGTAGAGCACGGGATCAGACATACTCGACCTGTTTCTGAAAGGTCAGCCTTTTATCAATGTAGATTGTCAAGTGTGGGTAGGAGCCTGTCCACTCAAGTTCTACATCCTGAATACGTAATCTGTTCACAGGATCTGGTCCCTTGAACATAAATGCAAGAGATTTCTCGGCAGAGATCTTGAGGCCTAGTTCCTTGCAAGACTGCGTTATTAGGTCCAAAGCTCTCTGGGCCTGTCGATCGAAATTAACTTTCCCATTCACTACGAGTACAAGATCATCAGCATAGCTGATCAGCTGCGTACCACTATGAGAGGGAAGGCTCACAAGTTCTTGCATAAGGACGTTAAACAGGGTAGGATTGAGTACATCTCCTTGTGGCGTGCCGTTTTCCAGGGTTTTAAATGAAGAGTAGTGTCCCTGAAAGCTGACACAAGCCTGCCTGTCCCTAAGGTAGGATTCTATCCAGGCCAGGAGGCGTCCTTTGATCCTCTTCCGAGATAGTATTGCTAGAATTGCTGTGGGGCTGGCTAGGCCCAATGCCTTCTCAAGGTCGATGTAGACGACGATACTAGGTTTCTTGTTACTATCAGCAATCTGGCTTGGTAGGG